ACCAGTGAGAAAGTTATCGAAATGCTTGAAAAGAAGGTAGCCGATTGGCGAGAGGTCTGGAGAGTATAGTGGGTGAGGCAGAACTTCGACGCACAATCAGTTCTAATTTCAGAAGATTTGTACAAGATAATATTTCGCTCTAATGTACATAATATTGACAATCGACGAAAACGTTTGCTTACTTCCCCAATGTTTCACACATAATTTTCAGATGTTCATATTCCTATCACATCACCAAATGTATGAATAAAATACCACCAGAGTTGAAAGAATTCTCGTTATCGACTTTCCAGGCGCGTATCGTAAGATTTCTCGATAGATAGTAAGTTCTATTTTAATTTTTTTAATTCTGTTCATTTTTTTCACTCTTTTTCTTCAGTCCGATTTGAGAATTATTAATTACTTCGATCTGACAATTATTAATTTACCACCTACAATGTTTTAAAAAATTTATGTATGTTTCCTTGACTAATCTTTATCTTCAATTTGAACTGAGATTTATTAATGTAGTGGTGGCAATATTTATATTCCTTGTACCTAACGTAGCTGCATTTGAAAGTAATCAATTTTTTTTGTTGTGGTTGTTCTGATTTGCCATTTAGTAGTCTGTTTTGGGTTAGGTGGAAGAACAGATGTCAGTCTACACCTTCCGATGCCGATTGTCATACTGAATTACGCCCATTTACTTTTTTTAGTTCACATGTGTGAATATAACTGAAAATTGATAAAAGACCTTTATTATTTTTTTAACCTTTATTATTTGGTCAGGCTCTATCCCCGAAGCCCCGATACATTCGGGAAGGCGCGCCAGCATTATCAACCAATGACCACTCCCCACACCGTGATGTAAGTGATCATAGGGTCCCGGGCGCCTCGCGGCAGGCCCTGCACCTTGTGTCAGGAACCTCTATACCCATCACGCGATTGCGGTAAACTGAGGCCATGATGAACCTCTCAGTTTCCGACATCAGCTCACTCGAGCTGATAAAAACGAACGTCAGGCGCTTTGATAAGCCAAGGTCTCCAATGTTATTGAAGAAGACCCCGTGCATTGGCTCATTCTTGTATTTCCGCAGAAGTGAGGTGATCTCTGCGGCTTTCATCTGAGCTTTTTACTGAACGGGTTCCAATTTGGTGACAGAGTTGTGGTCACCTCGTTCACTGTCGAAAACTTAACCAAGTTCATCAGCTGCTCGGGCAGCTTCCCTAAAGAGAAATGCTCCAATTCCTGCTCTCTCATGATCACGGACCATTAGTATTATTATTATTTTAAAACCCAACATTTGAAACATCAATTTGAATACTTTTCGAAGTGAATTTGAACAACTCATGAATTAAACTCAACTTTATTTTGTTCAAACTTGCCTTTGCTGTAATAACCCAAATTGAGGAAAATTCCCCATTGTCAGTGTTTTTTTGTGCCAAGCCGTTTGACAACTGAATTGGAAAGTAGTTATATTTATCTCAGATCTGTTCCAAAATACCATTCATTTATGATACGAATGAAATGATTCAACTTATTAATGTCATTTTTTTTTTCGAGTCATATATTCATGGGACCAAATGTTTCCGATCCTTCGGAACTGCAACTTGAGAGGCAAATAGGTGGGCCATTTGGATAGAACTTCTTCAATAAATCATTAGGTTTTATCTGAAAAAAAAATGAAATCGTATCTACGCTGGGTTTGCAGAAATTTTTCATCAACTTTTAAGTTGATAGGAATTACCAGGCCGAAGGTATCGTTAGACATAAATGTTATAGAAGAAAAAATTATCAACCTTCAATTTATACGAGTAATTAGTGGAGAAAATAGAAATCGATTTTTTCAAGTATTGTGTTTTATGGAAAATTTGATACAAATGAACCCATTTCAAACGTCAAGTGAAAACAGAACCGACACATCCTCTTTATGTTACAAGAAACAATCAAGTTTTGAATAAAAAACTGTCGCTGTCATATACGAATATATACAGTCCGCTTTTTACCGCTGGTGCCACTATTGCTATTTCAGGAACGGTAAGACCTACAGGGTCGGTTAAATTAGACAAAAGTTTCCTATTTTGAGGAACTAGAATAATTCTTTTTCAGATGGAGAATATCGGTGATTGTTTTAGAAATATTCGCCAAAATTTAGAATTGTTGAATTTCAGTTTTTAGCTCTACCGCCTCCGTTTCGAATGATATAAAAAAAGGAGAGGTATTTTCGTAACTGTTTCACATTTTTATATTATGATATAAACCCATTTGCAACGTGACGTTTTGTTCATTAGATTTCATCACTACCTTGATTGTTTTCAATACGGACCTCTAGCTATGTATTGATACATGTGTTGTATTAAAAAAATGACGATGAAATATAATGAACGAAATGTCGCATTGTAAAACGGATTATATGAGATTATAACAAATATGAAACAGTATTGACACTTTTTCTGCCTTTTTTGTATGTTATTCGAAATGGAAGTGATACAGCCAAAAAACGAATTTTGACAGTTCTAGTTTTTGGCGAATATTTTAAAAACAACCACTGATATTTTCGGCCCGAAAAAAATACTCTAGTTCCTTAAAATAGTAAACTTTCATACCATTCAACCGACGTTGTAGGTTTTGACGTTTCTGAGACATCAATAGTGAGATCAGCTTAAAAACTGGCCTGTTTGATATTACTCAATGAATGTTCTTATTCTTTATCATCAGTAATCGAATCTTTATCGAGAGGATAAACTGGGCCCAATACTGCCATTACTTGTATACTCAAAAGGGTCCATCAATCCTGAAGATTGACAGAATTTTACCACTCAGGGCCGTAGCGAAAAGAAAAACCAGGAGGGGGAGGGTATCCAAATTTTCCCAACCCCACTAGCAAACAAAAATAATTTTTGGTAATTTAAAAAATAATTATTTAACTAGTTCAGTGATCTATTAATTTTTTTATAAAAATAATAATGGGAATTATTCTACTTTGGACCAAGGTCCTTGGTATTCCACCATATCCACCATGTATAGGAATATTCAATACAAATGAAAGGAAACAACACTTAAATAATATTGTGCNCTTTACAAAACACTCTGGCAGGTTTTCATACAGCATGTATTCATCATTTGAAACAAACTTATGAAAACTTATACGAATAAACTGCAAATATTTCCCAGTATACGTGTATATGTCTGTATATCCATAACATGGTGAAGCATATTTGTAATCCTATATTTCTTCTTATATTTCTTCAAATAATCAACGTTATATAATAGACATATTACTTTTATCAACTATAGACTTAGGTATTGTTTATTTAGATATTTTATATTCTTCATATGTACTATGTTATAGTATCATTATCAACTTCACATTCAATTTAACCTCGCCGTTTAATTCCCTACGCACAGACTTGATCTTCTGGTTTGCCCATTTATTCCTCTTCCCCGCTTATCTTCTGCACTGTCATATGCATGTACAAAAATGTAAAACAAGTTTAATGTATAAGTTTAAAAATGTCCTCATAGGACGAAACTGTAGTGACTTTAGTAACAAATAAAAGTGGTAAAAAAATATGGTAAGTTCTATTTTTCATTTTTCATGATGACCTCCTAACACATAATAACGGCTACATCCATCAATTTGACTAAACATTATTTAAAATGTTGTATTAGTTCGATTCACAACACAACAAAGTTTTTGTTTCGGGGTTGAAATTAGATGATTTTAATGTATTTCCACGTGTTAAAACCGAAAGTGACCATAAAAATTATATATTAGCTCTTGTTTTCAAGATATAGTATCATTATATTATATATATGTATATTGAGTTTTCAACAAATGAAATATTTCATCACCAACAGTTGGTACACATGTTTGTTTACATAACACCCCTCTCATCAGCTGTTCTTAAGTAGTAAACATAACCTATGTGAGTTTGTCAATTGTACGCACGTGGTTGCTATTGAAATTATCGTGTG